TGATCCCAAACACATCGACACAACAACCTGTGTTGCCATGGTTGCAAACAATATAGGGCGCGGGAAATTTTATGGGAGTATTACATAGTGTAGTAACCAACCACAAATTCAACCAAATCTTTTTGAGAAGAATGAACAATACAACAAATTTTCGCCCCGAAAATTCGCCGCATAGAACGAATTTTCACTCGAAATTTCGAGTCGCATTTACGCCATCAAGGAATTTTTCGCCGAAAGTTCGAGCCGTTCAAAACAATACATGCCTCGAAAATTCGCGGAAATGTCGTCGAAGTTTCGTTTCGGTCAAGAATTAGTCGAAAAGCCAGGAATTTCGCCGAATTTCGTCGACAGATGTTTGCATTACTTTTGCACAATACTGTACCTGCTTGACATTGTATTCATATTGTAAGGAGAAATTCTGTCTTGGTCACTTGTGGGAGTGAAAGGGTTAATTAAGTCACAGAGAATATTGTCCACTTAACTTACTATTTCCCTTCTGTTCCATAATTTGTAAAGCCTATCTTCAGTGTTTCAATTTGGAATTTGAAGGAGCAAAAGACTACTAATTAACCCTAACTGGGTAGTTGCTGAGCAAGTTCCCTCAGTGTTACATAATTTTGGCTAAAGAAATACTTCACTCACCAAGTTTCTTCTTGGCTGAAAATATGTCATCAGGAGCTGCCAAGTTCTTGTTGTCATTTTTTTCTTCCTCTTTGCTGGAAGGCTCTTCTGGCACAGCTGGCTGTTCAGCTTTAGGTCTGAAAAATTTAACAGAATTTTTTAGGACCCAAAAACCAGATCAGGTTAAGTTCAACATCAAGTCTTAGAAGAGTTACCACCCACTACCACATGAGTTTAAACTGGTTTCTGTACCAAAAAGGTGTCATGGTATGTGTAGTCTATGCACTACCAGTGGCTCAAACACTAGGTTATTAAAACCACAAGGAAGATAACTCAGGGATTATAACATGTTCCTCAGCCAACTGTTATATACAAACCTGGGTTTTGAAGATGTTGTTTGAGGTCTCTCTGTGCTAAATGCTTTTCTAGGTGGTCTGTAAAGGCAAAAAACACAAATTCAATTTTTAATCTTTAAGATCACAGAAGGATCCACATCTAATTACAATTCTGTTTTCCTCAATAGAAAAAATTTAAGAGAGGTCTGAGAAGTGTAAGTAGATTTTAAATAAATGACTTACGTTTTGGTAGATGGTACAACTTTAGCTGGTTTCTGTTCCCCTGGTGCTCCTTCCTGTGTAAAAGATTGACAACTCAGTCATAAATAGCTTCAGGAGCTCTAAGCACTAATGGTAATTCAAACCTATTGAAAGTATCACTAACAACATTATTCCAGGATCTTAAGCCTGCTGGAACTAGCATAGTTTCAAAAACCAAAGCTGAATGCTGAAAGTGAAGTATTGCCAAAGTTGCTTGACTTCTCTTTAAGTTTTAATAGCATTTAGTGACTAAGTGAGGTGCTGCTCCCTCTGGATACAATGCTAATCTATCCTAAGTTACCCTCCTTGCCCCAGGATACATTTGATTGCTGGTACATTAACACCTAAAAAGTATTAGCAATGAAGGATGAGGCCCAATGGCTTTATGGGTACACATGTACATGATAACCACAATAACATGTGGTAAATAATAAAAACCCTCCTAAAAACAAAAATTTGCCATGAATAATGGAAAAGTAAAGCACTTATTATGCAACTGTAAGACCACTTCCCATAAAGCCTTTAGATCTCATCATTCATGAATCATGCATTTCATGTGTCAACATTTTTGCAACCCGGTGTATAGTCAAGTCTCATGGTCTTTACCAAGATACACTTATGACTTTGGCCCCCTTAGTTATGCTATCCTGTCTCTGTGATTCTGAATGCATTCAGTAGTCTCAGTCAAACAAAATTGTTCATTATAAGCTTCCCATAAGTGGACAAGTCATATTACTTCAAGAAGAATGAATTTGAGCTTCAGGGCCATTGACTCTCATATTTATAACATTTACATTTTAATTTACCATTGTTGACCAATAGTAGTGTTGTACATCAGAAATAAAGAAGTCTGTTACTCACCATTACATTATTTCCTACATCAGCTGTCTCATCATTATACTTTGCTATAAGGTTTTCTAAATGCTGAACACAAGAGAGAACAATTCATAATCAGTAACACTGAAAACACACACTAAGATAAACATGAGAAAAACAAACATACCCCTTTAACAGCTATACATGCATGAAAAACATACCTCTAAATCAACAACCCACACAGATACATTGGTCTGATGATATGATGCTCCAATCTACAAAGATACAAGGCGAAATTCACAATTTGTTGAGAAATAATTGAGCTGTTACATATACCACTTCCAAGGACGTAAATGAAAAAATGCCTTTACTGCAGAACTCAATCAATTATTAAGAACTGATGTTTCGAAATAAAAAATCAATTTTGGACAACTTTAACCCTCTAAGTCCCAAGATCTCATTAGTAATTCTCCTCACTGTCTACCATACAATTCTTGTGATGTTAGCATGGAGAATTTGGTATTGGATCAACTTATAATCTCCTAATTTATATTTTTCATTATTCTCATTACTTGTCTGCTTGATATTGTATTGATATTGTAAGGAGAAATTCTGTCTTGGTCACTCTTAACTGAACAGGGAAGTCAAAATGCAGGGTTCACTTACAAGTTGGTTGGATGAAACTGCAATATCAGCAACCTTTCCCCATCCAAGAGAAAAGCTGTCATAACATCTAACTGGCTCCCAACCATACACCCTCATGGAATCTTGTGCTCCACTGAATAATGAATGTCCATCAGGGTGGAATGCTACACATCTGTGAATCAGACAAAAAAGCCAGTTTCCACCATCTGTTGTACATCACATAACAAGGCAAAGACCGTGAATGCTAATACTAATGTCATTACACTGCAGCAAAAATAAAAGTAAGTGATTATACCAAAACCTTGGTGCTGACTCTCAAAAGATAAAGACACGTAATCCATTAACTAAGAACTCCCATCTCATCAGTAGCTCATTGCAGAGAATTTTAATGCTGAGAAGTACAGATTTGTACAATTGTCACAACATATCTTATATTCAAATTGACAATTCACCCACCTAATGCCGCTAGTTTCTGGATCTATAGTAGACACCAGCTGAAAGGTCTCCAAGTCCCAGAATTTTACTGTCCTAAAAAAAAAACATTACCACTTGTAACAAAGGTTTGACTAGATGTTTACTGTTTATAAATTTATTTGAAGTTTACCTCTTTTTGATGTGGTACTACTTAATACATTTCTTGCAATACTGGAAGGTTCATAAAGCCCCAATCACATATATAATCAAAAGTGTAATACATATAGTTGGACTACATCACTCTTCAAATCTATCAATTTTTTTGACAAACCTGTCATTACTGGCAGTTGCTAACAGGAATTCCTTTGGATGAAACTCAACACAATTAACAGCAGCAGTGTGCTGCTTAAAATCATGAAGGAGTTTTCCACTTGTCAAGTCCCACAACTACAGAGACAAAAAACATGTTATAATCAGACTTGACTTGTAATGAAATAAATCTCATATGACCTGCAGATTGAAATCAAATAAAGCCATGATCCTGGTATGTCCTTGCAGGTCATTGAAGCCTGGAAAGAATTCAGGCTTCAATGAGATTCAAACCCATGCCTCCCAGATGGTTGTTGGGAGCTACTACCAACTGAGTTACAAGGCCACACGTTGAAAGTTGTGCACATTTTAAAGGGTTTTTGTTTTTACAGTATCACACACATTCCTGCAGAATTGTATTCATTTTGCAATAAGGAAAAAGTAGATTCTTAATGCCAAATACTGCATAAAATTTTAAGAAGCCTCCATCACCTTAACAGTGTTGTCATCAGATGCTGATATAATCCATCGGCCATCTGGACTAAATCTCACAAAATTAATTCCATCAGTGTGGCCCTGTTAATGAGACAACAGAATTAAAAGTTAGCCATCCTACCTATAGCCACTATTTTTTTTTTGGTTAAATTTCAATAACTTTTGGCATGGACATCACTGGTAATGCATTTATAAGATCAAATGACCTTTTCAATAGCCTTCATTAATATTACTTGATATTAAAAAAATATCATTGTAGTGAGAGCACAATTTTAACAATTACCTTTAATGTGACTATACAACCTTTTCGTCTGACATCCCAAAGCTGAGAGAAAATAAAATCATTCCCATTATGTCATTCATTATTTTCTGCCACATTTTCCAAGTTTTCTTTCATCACCAGTTGCTTAATACTTACACAATAGACAATATTCCTCCATTGTACTGACCTATCTACATATGTTTTTCTTCACCATACACAGCAAAGTTTCCATCACACAAAGAAATAGCTCCCTAGTCTTCCTACTCTTTGCCATCAATTAATTCCACAAAAGTTAACAGCATAAAATTAATCCTTTATCAACCATTTGAAATAACTATCATGATAGTATTTGTATAGCATTTGTTTGATAACATATCTAACTGTGCCAACATGTTTCTGTATTGTGTCATGGCCAAAAGGTATATTCATTCCTTATACTCAGGAGATGCCTACACCTAAACTCCAGAGAGAGGTTCTACCAAGGGGTAATGGTCAATTTTTTGCTATAATTTTATTTTATTGGTGAGACTTAAAGTTTGCTACTTTTTTGAAATCATGGTGGTAAAGTCCCAATAAAAATTTGTAACTTTACAGCATCTCATATCACCTTTTCATCAGTGGATTACTCAATATACAACTTATATTGATTAAAACTCTTACCTTTACATTTGTGTCTAAAGAACCTGATGCTACAAATTCACCATAGGGGTGAAAATCTATACCACGTATACTACTCTTGTGACCAGTCAGGGTTCTGACAACTGAAAAAAAAGATATAACATAATTTAGTAGATAATAAACATGTGGTTAGAGTCTATGATGGAAATATAAGGGTTACTATGTTTGATTCAGCATTGAGAGGTCCAGTATTATTCCCTGAACAAATCAATGGTTGTTGGGAAGGTAATCCCCTCTTGAAATATTTCTCTTCACCCGTGAATAAAAGTGGGTACCAACAAGTCATAATAATTGCTATGGAAACCAGGATATGTAGCCCTAGCAACAAGCTAAAAGGGTCCACATACTTAACCCTTAACACCCTAACATAAGTATGTATATTCTCATTATGTTGCCCATTCCGCAGTTTCTGTTATTCCTTTTATAAAGCAGACAGGTCTCTTATGATGACCACCATGAACATGTGTGTGCTAAATTTCAACTCACTCTTGGCAGCTTCTAAATCCCAAATCTTCAGTGTTCCTGACTGGGATCCTGCGATAACAAGATCCTCCCCACTGTTAAACTGGACGTATTCTACAGGACTTGTGTGGCCTGACAGAGTCTGTATGAATTAAAAATTTTAAAAGACAACATCATCATTCTTCTTATGGTTATCATCATCACATAGCAATAACCATCAATCACCTATTAATCATATTGCAGTAATTTTATGATTTTCAAGTGGTTTGGTTAATCAAGGACAGAGACAGCTCTACATTTCTTGAACTTAAAGTTTGAAAAAATAAATCTGTAAAGTTTAAATCAAACTTAAAGCAGTGAATTAGACCCATATCACAACACTGTGCAGTGTTTAGAGTAATCCGGTGGTATATTCTGGTTGTTAAGGAAAAACGCATCAAGGTATGACAATGAAAAAATCATGTTAGACTGTAATTTCCTTCATATCAGGCACTTCACTTTGATTAGAATATGTACCTCTGGCAAAGGCTAGATAAAAGTACTTGACCTTAAAATATTGCACTTGTTCTTACCAGGATTACATTTGGCTTTCCTACAGCCCACATGTTGACTTTGCGATCCTCTCCTCCTGTCACCATGACACGTCCAGAAGTTGGGCCCAGAGACAAACATGACACATTTGACCCATGAGCTACAAACTCCTCTGTAGGTCAAAAGAAATATGGATAATTTATCATAACAAGCAAAAAATATTGTTCTAAAAGTTAGTCTTGGAACAATATCCAATTTTAAAGAGATTATTAAAATATAGTATCTCATCTCACTCCACAAAAAGAAAAAAAGAATAAATCTGGCTCTAATTAGGATAAATGAATTAACCCCTTAACTCCCATGAGTGACCAAGACAAAGTTCTCCTCACAATATCAAAACAATATCAAGCAGACAAGTGACGAGAATAAAGGAAAATATTGATTATGAGATTCTTAGTTGATCCAATACCAAATTCTCCAAACTAACATCACAAGAACTGTATGGCAGACAGTAAAGAGAATTACTTATGAGATCTTTGAAGTCAAAGGGCTAACAAGTGTGCTGAGAAAAAAAACTAATAAAACAGATATAAAAATTCTCTTAATCTGGATTAATTCCGTAAATTATTTATTGCAACAAGCTTTCATAAATTTTTCTGGACTGTTTATCTTATAATTGAGGAGTCGATTAATATCTTGGTGTACTTTCAGGTTGGATATTTTAAAAAACCAAATTTTTTTTTAAATTATAATCACTTATGCTCCAATATCAGGCAAGAGAACTTTTGTTCTTTCTCTACCTCTCCCTTTCCCTAATCCATACCAACTTCATATTTGAACCTAGCACTTATTGACACCATGATAGTGAAGCTCCATACATTTTGTGATTCAAGTTTTCCTTTGCTTCAAAGATATTGAGACCACCTTAACATTTCCCTTCGCAACAAAATTTCAAAGGGTCTTGGACCAATGAATATCAAAATAAACTGACACAGAAATATTGAAACCAAAGAACATTTGATTCACAACTTAAATGTCATGGTTCAAAATAAATTTCAGATCCAAAAGACTTTGAATTAGTTTAATTTGTTCACTCCCCTGTTTTAAGTTAAAAAGAAAAAAACAATATGTATTGCATGTTTTATGTAATTTGATTGGAAAAATTTTATACTTCAATATACACAGGGCAAGAATCTCCACATCACTGTGAATTTTCTTTTGTTGAGTTTTAGCTGTGTGACAATATTCTCAAGCTTGGCATGGAGGGATAACTACCTAAATGGATTCTAAATTATGTTTATTGCTAGCAAAACAGTACCTTATCATGAAACCAATGAGCTTATTTGAAACCTGCCAACTGTTAATTAAATTATTAATGACATAGTTTCAGTCAGAGTAAACATCCCACTCTACACATATTCTGTGCATTTTATAATATAAAACACCCCTATGCCTAACAAGAAACACCTCTTGCTGAAATATAAAATCTTTGTTGGATTACAATCAATGAAACTTAATCATGAAGGGATCTGTTTTGTAACCAAAATATTTCTGTCTACAGCTTATAATTAGAAACAATGTCTCTTCAAAAGTTCCAACCCCCTGACGTCGTAGAATTCAGAAATCATTCAAGTTCTCAGACACATGAACGCTCTAAGATAACATCAGTGAGAGTAATTTTCGACTTCTTTGAAAATAATTAGCTCAATTAATCAACCGCGTTTTAATAACAAACGTTAATGAGAAGTAAAATTTAGCCATGAAAAAAACCTCGATGATAGACATGCGGTAGGTGACAATCACCTCGATAATCCGTTTATAGCCGAACGTCAAACAACCTCGTTGGAACACTAAGCCTATTTCTCACAAAAATTCCGAACCCTTGACAAAGTAACATGAGACGTCAAACAAAGATGCTATAATCATGAAAATAGGAAAAAACCACGATTTTTCCAGAATGCAAAGAAATGGTTCTGTTTGTCACACATGTTGTTCTAGCGTTCGTTTACATTCTTAATTTACGAGTTGACTCGTGCTTGAATTGACATGACGTTACACATGGCCAGACGAAATTTTTGACGCAGGAGAATTCGATTTCATACCTTTAAAACGTTTGAATCGTACAGAAAAGTACATGACATAATTCCCAGTATCCTATTATTTTAATCGCATCTCAAACTCCATTTTTAAATTTTGTACCGGTGAACACCTATATGTACTTACGAAGTTTCCATGAGCGCTTCTGTTGTGCCGCCATAATTTTCAAACTTTCTTCAGAGCTTCCACGCGACAATTTCCGAAACCATAGCCCCCTTCCAACACTATCACATGTTAATTGAAGCAAATCCCTTATAAAAGTGATATTTTCTCCAAGGAAACTGTCGAAATATTACCGAAACACGGTTACACTTCCCTTGACAATTTCAACGAGAAAGTTCAAAATTTAGAGCCCGCGCTTGTAATATTCAGCGAGTTCAAACAAAGGCATGCGTACGCCCACATTGCCTTGCGGTCGCTATAATCCCTACACAACCAAAACAAAACGACAGCTTGCACATCCCAGTAAAGTCTTGCTAGTTACGTAACATTGCTCGTATGTCTTGCCTTACGGAACTGAATTACTCTCTTACTTGAACTTCACCCAAGGAGGAACTGACAGCCAGATGTTTGTCCTGTTCAGGCGTGGATGTGCGTTCCGGAACCGTCAGTTTGCTGTATCACGTCATGTTGTGTCGTATGTCCAAGGTCAATCTCCTTCACCGAAAGTGCGAGAGTACTTTTATTACATTGACCATCAGGGGCAGGTATTACCAATTTTTTTCATGAAGCTGTTTTCTTTTTTTCATTTTCACTCTTAATTCAAGTCTTCCAACCATACCTCATGAAGATTACATCAGTGGAACACACTGCAGTCGAAAACTACAGACTCAGTTGTGTGACACTCATTAGAAAATAGTGTACTTTAGGTCACTGATTGAAGTTGAACGTTAATTAGTTGACTTGCATGCATATGAATTGGATTAGTTTTTGTATTTACATAGATTTCAATTATATATGAGCTTAGATTTTGCTGAAATTTACAAAAAGATATGTCAGCTGTTTGAAGTCATTTCGTCTAAAACCTCTCCCCCATACAGTAAATATGACCGAAGAGGGGTGTGGTTGTGAAATTGATTGTCACTTTCATTCTTCAGCCAGTTCAGGTGTTATATGAACCAATGTTTCCTTGACTTACAGGTATAATAAAACCTTCATGAACTATGGTGAAATATACTAAAGATTTGTTGCTCTCTTTCAGTTGTTTCTTGATGACACAAAGTGAAAAACTTTATCACCTGTTTTAAAGGTAACTATAGCAAGATCCAGTCTGTTTATTTTGTTTTGTTTTGTCTTCATTTCGTTTTGTTATTTTTTTAAAGTGTGGTTGAAATTCAAGTTTCCATATTAACTTCTTTGTTTACTTAGTTCATTATGGATTGTTTCTTGTCAATTGACTCACTTTGAATTTGTTAATTTTCAGACAAGCAGTTTCTTAAATTTTTCTTCAAGAGACTAAAGCAAAACAAAACTTCAAGGTTTGAGGAAGACTTCCCATTCATTTCACCCTGCGGTCTTGAAATGAACTACATCCGTTGTGATGATGTGCCAGTTGTTTTTGCCACCATTATAGAAGATGCAGATGGTGGCAGTAGATCACCTGGACTTTTGACTTACAGTGGAATCGGAGAAACACTTACATTCCCATTTCAACCAGAAAAGGTTTGCATGCTTCCTGAGAGTGGAAGAATTTATCACCCAGGACCAGAGAAAGTTGGTGGTGTGGCACTTATTAAGTCAAGTCTTGCTATTGAACTAAGTCCCCACTTTGAATATCAAAAAGGAAACCAAGAAAATGATCCTCCAACACATTTCAACTGGAAAGGAATTTGCCATGAATTGGACAATTCAGTTTGGAACTATTTAAGGTCCGCTGAGGTGGAGGAACTTAGAAAAAGAAAATCACAGTGACAACTTAATTTAGATATGTGAAACAGCAAGTCCTGTCAACTGGCAAAACCTTTTTTTTTTGTAATACAGTTACATTTCATTTGTGATTAAGGCTACAAAACAGCAGAATTGTGCTCTAATCTGTTGACCTTGTCATGGCACAGGCCTTTTGGCTATAACTGTGTAGTATTAAAAAAAAAAAAAAAAGGGGGGATTAATTATTTTCTTAGTTTAAAGCCGTAAAATAGACCCATGTTTATCTTTGGTGGTAGACATCCAACATTCCTGAAATGTCAGGTTGTGTTTACACTTCACAACAGGGTAATACAAAACTTACCTGAATGCAGATACTCTCAAGCTAACTAAAACCTAATGAGAGTAAAACACTCGCTAAGTAAAATGCCTTGTGAGTAAGTGGAATGAGTGTCACCTTGTGGTGTAGAACTTTTTTTTATTTATTATTGTTTACACTTAGATCCTTAAGACAATGACATTGATGACAAAAACAATATTTTAATGAAGATAATCATAATAAATGTGGGTTTAATATTTTCATGAGAAGGAAAAACAGAAAAGTTGAATTATCGGACTCTTAAGTTGAAACCTCTGCAAAAGCAATGGCCATACACAAATTCATTTAATTTTATTCATAATTTCAGTATATTACAGAGATAAAAATTACAGTTTTTGTTATTTCTTAAATGATACGTTGCCATTAATGTCACAATGAAAAACTGATCATATAATTGCTTGCTGGGCCTGCTTGCTGGACCTTTTGATTTTCAAATGTGGCAGTTACTCATATTTCTTCTCCAAAGTCTCAAAGTAAGACATTAAAAACTAAATTACTCCTTCCTGTGAACTAACCCTTGAATTTCCATTTTCCATTTATTAAATGTAAGCCAGGAGTGGCCAGGAAAGAGAAATGGATTCAAAGTTACAATTTACAATAACTTTGTGCCTTGAGGGATTTTTGCAAATATGAAAAATATAAATATGACCTGTTCTTAGTCTGCACTTCTAGTTTAAAGAAAAGGTACTTTGTTGGGATGAAAAAGAGCACTTAAAAAAAAAACAACAACCCTCATTTGAGCTCATGAACAGCAATGAGGGCTGTAGTCAGAGGTTCACTTTATTCTTTGCTTTTACTACCAGAAATTCACAGGCTCATTACTTGTGGTTTATCAAAAAAGGAACATCCTATCACTGGTCAAAGCTACCATAACCTGATACAAGAGATTCAGGCAACCTTATCCAACTTTTTTTGGAAGTCATGATAATCTTTACTTTGTGTTTGAATGTGATCTAAGTTTGTCATACCTGTGCTCACTAGCAAATTCACAACATTGAAACACAGTGGATGTCCAACATCAATGTCTAATCCACAAAAGATGGTTTTCTTTGAGTGTCACTTAATCAACCTCAACTTTCATCTCCTTGTGACTAAATTTATAACTTTTAATTATTACTTATAATAATCATTGAATTATTCCCTTTGGACATGAAACACAATAAAACCAATCACCTACTGTTAAAATAACCTCTAGACATACACCCAGACCATTGACCACTAATGTGAAAGACTTCAAGTGAAAAGATAACCTCAATGCAAGAGATTTACTAGTAACAGCAGAGACTGGAAGTCACAAGACTTGCTTTGAACTATTTAAGTCAGTTTTCACTAAAAATAGCTGTGAAGAAAATGTTGATCTTTTTTAATCAAGTTGCAAGCATTTTTCCCAAGGCACTGTTAAGAGTTCATATAATTCTACTCTTATGCACTCTCTAATCCATCTTCTGTTTTTCCTATGAAAACCCAGAAACATAAAAAAAATCTGGAACTCCTGTACAGTGTGTGTTTGTCTGGTTATTTACATATTTCCATCTGGTAGACTACATCATTGTGCTAGCTCTCCTGCTTGCTAAAAATTTGATTGGAACCTTTCTTCATCCATGATAAACCAGACTTGTGTGCATTGGCTGTAGGAAGACTTTCTGGTTTACTCTGTTGAGATGTAAACAAGCAGTGACAATAAACAAAAACTGTTACAATAAACACCCACAATAATCAACCTATGGTTTTTGGTTAAGACTGATTTGCTAAATGTACAATGTTTTGCATGCAAAATCAGCCAGACTGGCCAAACATTAGTTATAATTAATAATGTAAAATAGAGGAAAAACTTGCTACTCTACCTGAATATCAATAATTTGATTCTTTATCTCATCATGCTGGTCGGGGCTAAGTTCAACAAACCTGTTTGAACATAACATAAACACAAAAAAACCTTTTAAATTTATTCAATGTCCATGTGATTTCCTAGTCTTGGAATATTCAGTCCTTATTAAATCATTCCAACATTGTTTACCCCCCTGACCTGACTGACCATATCACAGGCAGATCAACCGATTGATGGATCAACAGATTGATTGATTGACTATGTACAACTGATTTTATTGAAAACCATTGACCCATGCTCCCAATCAAATGCATGTTCCACTGGACACTATTGACCACATTAAAAACAATTTAAATTTACCACTAAAACTGTAGTTCTTCAAAAACTACTGTTGACTGGAATTTTATCCACCATTCAACAGTATTAAGTGAGTTTTTTCTGCTAAAGAAATTTAGAAAAATGTGACTTGACAGCCAAAATGATTTGGGTCACTATTGCCTTAGATTACATTTTGCCAACACTGAACCATACACATTGGTACATGTATAAAAGATAATAAGCTCCACCCACCTAATTGCATGAGGGTCATCTGCTAGAGGTAAATGAAGCTCATTAAGGCAAGCTCTCAGTGACATGTTAACTTTTTGTTTGAAATTATCTCTATCATTTTCATACCTGAGAGTGAAAAAAAAAAGACTTTTGCAAATGGCCTTCACAACTTACCATAATCTTCAACACAGCTAGAAATGTTGGGAAAAAATACTGCAAGAATTTGAAATCAAAGTTTTATCTTACACACAGTTGTAAGTAAATACATAGAGAAGAAGAGGAGGACTGGTACTCACAAGTTGGCAGCTTCAGGATTAAGTGGATTCTTCAAATCAATTTTATAAAATATCCTTCTAGCATACAGCAACACTTGACACAAGTGATTTATGTTTCTCCTTAAAATAAAAAAAAATAAAAAAAAAAAAGGAAGGAGAAGAAGAAAAATAAAAACAGTTTTTGGGACACTTTCACCTGATCAACTGATCACCTAAGTTGATACATTGCAAACTGCAGTTCATAGACTGAAGGTGCATAATAATTAACTAGATCAGAACTATCTAGAAGTACTTAGCCAGAATTTTTCACATTTTCTATTTGTGAATCTTCACTATCCTTGCTCCCTTTTGGGTTCATTCCTGTCTCTTTGGTGTATCAAAGATTTTCTTTCAACTGACAATAATTTCCAAAAACACCCAACACCCTCCCCACCCCCCTCCCCCTCATCCAAAAAAAAGATGCACTACCTCCACTTTGGAAAAGCTCGCTTAACATCTAATTCTCCAGTCTCCAAATTTACAACAGGATGAAAAACTGGGGGCTTGAATACAACACTCTGTGAAAAAAAATGTTTTACATTTTAATAAAGCACACAATGTTTGCAAATCAATTAAACAGCAAATTTTCAGTCCCCAACTACGCTCTGAGAAGAAAAGTTAGGTGCCTCAAGACTCCTGTCTCATAAATCTGAGGTTCTCAGCTCTCATAGACACAAACAGCACAGGGAAAAAAGACAGTCACCTGTGGCTTCTGTCCACTGCAAGAGCACAGCCCTTTGTTACATCTCCCCCCTCAAATTGAGCCCACAAACTCAATTTCTCAGTCCTCATTGTAAGTTATGGAGACTCATTTTTTTCCACTCAGCTTTATGCCTTTTATACTTTGCACATAAATCCAAGCAGAAAAAACTTAGTCCATAACTAACTGTACAGACAGAGAAAAAGTAGTTAGTGAGAGATAAATTATTCATTTCCAAGTCCCTGAAGAGCAGTAAAATGACTTTGCAGAGCATTTATTTTCCAACCGTGCATCCCCACATGCCAGAAATAAGAGTGATTTCTTGGTCTGCAAGTAATTCAGCCTGTATAGTACTGTAGTCAGAAATGGTTAACAATCAATCTATGCCCAGAAAAAAAGACTCTAAGGGAAACTTGTGGCCAAATGCCCCCAAAACAAACTAAATAAATTAAATGAACAGCTCTGTGGAATTATTTCATTTAATACATCACCAATTATTGCTTGAGTATTTAATGACTTGTTTTTGCTGTACGATGTTTGGATGGTTATTTACTTACAGGACAGTCTCCATCTGGGAAATTTTCTGGAATTTTCATGACAAACTTGAATATACCATCTTGGTAAGAGCCCATCCTGATAAAAATAACTCCAAACCATACTGAAAGAGTAGACATAAGAAACAGATAAGTTGCTGTAGGTTTCCAAGCAAGAAAGATGTTGTTTGTTTTATTACAAGCAAAGAACAAAAAAGACTGTGGTAAACCATGTTTTAAATGAAATAATAACAAATCCTTACTGAGAGGAGACTTGGCAGCTGGAAGGACATAAACACCTGGGAGTCTTTGACTTCTAAGCTGATTGCTGTGAAGAGGATGAGATAAGCCACTTGATTAATGCAAGGATCACAGATTTAAAACCAAAATAAGTATTAAAAATGAGATACAACATGTATTCTGTCACAGTTTCATGGCTGATATAGTTGTCAGGTTTTCATTTGGACTTGAATGTTTTGAACACTATGAATGCACACAAATAATTTGAATTATTATTTCCAAAAGTTTTATGGTTCTTTTTTTTTTCTTTGAAAAATAACTAGCCTAAGTATTCAAACATTCTACTGTGACTGAATTACTCAAAACATTATTAACACCTTTTTCAGAAACCTTTTGTCCTGTAATTGGAATGAAACTTCGTTTGAACCATCAAGAGTGTTGCCCAGCTGTGCAGAGACTTCACCATAGCCTCTCCTCATATTATATGCTTTGTGCTTCAATAAACCCTCCCCTATACGAATACCACTTATATCACATTACCGAGGGCCCAGTTGTGTAAAGGGCAGATAAGACTATTCAGTAAATGAGTGAAAGAAAAACATAACCATGCTATAGATTTATCTGGTGAATAGCATTATCCAACCTTTAAACAACCAGAGCCAGAATGATGAAAACACCATAAAAGTTCTAAAGGATATTAAGTTTGCTTCTTAAGTTCTGCATTCCCATCGTAATGAATTTATGGTCAAACCATATCATTGCAAATTGTAATTCACCAATTTTAACTGTAAGATCATAAAAGTTCATACGGTGCAAAGACCCCATGTTGCTACATTGAATGCTTAACGCTTTAACAGTCAAGCTTCATTTGTGATGGTCAAGAGCTAAATATAATGAGCGCCCAGACACCAATACATAAAGGGAATCTGAAGGAATTTGAATCTCTAGCTAAAGCAATTAGTGAAATATTTTATAAACATGTAAGTTAATAAGACTTACATTTGTCAGCTCCGTGTAAATTATTCACGGCGTCAAAACTCACGCATTGTACACACGATTATAATGCAATTAAAGTAATAGCGAAAACTTACTATTCCGCCATTAGCGTGTACTCGAGGAAATATGGCCCATACGCCTTCACCTGAGTAGGATTAGCTGTTGGTGATCTCTGCTTTGCAACCGATAAATTCATCGACTTTTCTTCCTCTGGAGATGGCACAGCCGGCAAAGACTTTCGCTTGCTTATTGGTGAATTGTCTTCTGCTAGTCCAGAAGTCTGCATCTCGTTCGTTTTCGAGCTACTTCTATCTTTTACCTTGTCAGTTTTATCATCGATTTCTCCCAGAAAGAGCTATTCAGAAGAGAATTAGGAAATGGAAATGGGATAAGTCTAGTAAGTCCCGGAATTGGAGCTTATCTGTGACAGTTAACACGACAACGTGAACATAATATGGTTTGACAACCATTCCTATCGTTTTAGAACGGATGTATTGTTACTTGTAACAGTTGTTCACGGGTCTGTGGTCAGTTAAATTACACTAGAAACAAGTTAAGGTTTCACTCTACTTACTCGTAACACGATCTACGTTAAGATGGCATGCGTGCAATGCTATCATAGTAAACAAAACTCTCTCGCAAATCTAAAAACTCTTAAGCTATATTTCAGCCGCTTTCGATAAAGCAATGTTACAGTTTTACCTTCTTCCTAAGCTGGTGAGTAACGTTTAACATCGTTCAGCGATTCCTCGAAGCGTTCGAAAACATTCTCCTCAGGGTATCAACATAAAATTATACGCTTCTTCAAACGTCTACTTGTCATTATGAATTATCATTCCATTTAAGAGATGCTTCTCTAGTTTCCGAATCACTCTTCAAAATCATGAATATTTATAACGATCTCGCGGCGGCCATGTTGAAATCCAAAGTCACGTGTTTTACAATTCTCGGCAACACTCGGAAGCTCCCGTAAATTAAACGGGAATTTTCAAAATGGCGGCTACTGGAATTGAAGAGGTTCTGCAGTCTCTGATGGACACTCTTGGACTTTGTGCCGAGAAAATAAAAGGTTCGCATGGAATTTTCACTTTGAAACATCCTAATTTTTTCGTGAAACTATTACGATGACGATCAGTCCTTCCATGCTGCTAGCTGTACAAGTGACTTGTCTAAAATCTATCAGTTCAACTGTAGTTTTCTTATCAGAACTAGAATCTTATTTCTCCTCTTTGTGTTCAATACAGAGGGAAGCTTAGGACAAGTGATGGAGGACTTGGAGTTGAGTTTCTCTCTGGAAGAATTTTGGATGAAACTAGGTGATTTAGATTTTATTTTACAAAACAGAGGATGTTCCTATCATCATCATCATCATCATAATCATTTCTGTCATCAGTACAATCAGCTCATTATGACGAATATTTACACAAAAGGTCCTCAGCGTGGGTTTTATAATTATTGGTAAAGGATATAAGGAAACACATTGGGTATCTTCAGAGTGGGGACTGTGCAAAATTTGGACTGCAACCCATGCATACATGATTATAGAACTGCTCTTCTGGTTTGTTAGGGTCGCATGACTGGCATGCACAGTGAATACTTGAGAAAATATCAATCGTGGATGCCCTTCCTCTGCAGTTTAGATTTCTGTGGCTGGGAGGGGTGTTCCCTCTTTCCCACCTTGTATTCCTGGGAGAGTCTTTAATGCTATTTTACGCTCTTTTCCTTCAGGCATGACCTTCAGGGCTATTTCTAAAGAAGCAACTAAACTGACCATTTCCTTTTCAAAGCCTCCAGTACCATCAGTTGATGTGAGTCTATATCAAACAAGCTAGAAATGTTTTTTTTTTAAGGTCTTGCTTAAGGATACTTTTAAATCATTTTTAGACCAGTTTATTGATCAAGCCAACTATTGTTAAAACTTGCCTCATTAAAATGCTCTCTTTTTCAGGAACTACAATGCCTCTTGACTGGATTTGAGACATCAGTTGTGGCCATGTTGACAATATTTCGTTCTTTACCAATATCCCAAGGTAAATTTTATAATATTGGTTAACACTTGAACTAGCAAGTTAATGAAACAATGGCCCATTACATCTAGAACTTTCATCATATTCACTGTCATGAAGTGAATAGTAGTATCACTACTTCTCCTGCAAAGGATGAGTTTCCATCAGATTGTCACCCTTAAGTGACTCATTTGCTTTGTCAAGTATTTTTTTGGCATTCAGTGACACTCTTAGTTGGAGTTAGACACTGTGATAGTTAAGTGTCCTGCCTAAGAACTTTAGTTTAAACAATAACCCAGTCATGATTCTGCCTAAGGCTTCTCAATTCAAACACCACTGTGCTGACAATCAGGCCCCAGTTGTTTGAAGGGTGGATAAGGCTATCCATTGGATAAATCTCTATCCATTGGATAGTGCAATACATTTTGTTTACATTTATCCACTGGATAGCAATTTATCTATTGGATTGAGTTCTCTGCCCTTTGAACAACCCTGTCTGATACTGATACTGAGGACTACTTTTGTGGTTCATGAAGTAGATTAAGAGATTTAACTGTCAAAATTCAAGTACAGAGTCTTACTACACTATTTTAGGGAAATATCTTCATAAGAAACTTCAGGAATCTGTTCTGACTGTGGTGGACGACTGTCAAATTCTTGCTGCTTCGTTTATCAAGGAAGGCTGTTCAAGGTGATGTAGCAAGTCTAGGTTCAGTTGTTCAAAGTACACATGACAATGTTCAAACAAAATTGCCATTCAGCAAGCAAATATTGACAAAACATTCATTCTGTTCTATCCACTGGATAGAGATTTATCAAGTGGATAGCATTATCCACCATTTGACTACTGAGACCAAAATTTTCAATTAAGTTTAAATTAACACTTGTTTTGTTTGGCAGTGTTGCCAGTGCAAAGACAAAATCAACAGGAACTTTGTGGGAACATTGTGATGGTTTTCAACACCTTCCAGCAGGTAGGAAATTAAAAAAAAAAAAAAAAATTATAAAGCTTGTGGAAAGTCAGTAATTTACCAAAAGATACACTGTAGGCTGTCTGCAAAACTGTAAGAACAACTGCCTAATCTGCTGTAGAGAAGACCACACATTGACCCATGAGCACTTTGAATTTTCAAGAGAGGGAACAAAATGGATTATTCTATCATCAGTTATGATTAGTCACTTAATGCTATTGATGCGCACTAAAGAACCCTTGTGGTGGAACTTTTTGCAGATGACAAACATGCAGTTTTACAAGTATTTCATTCAAGTTCAGAGTTGATCAAAGATGCCCTCACTGAGTTAAATGAGGTATTTACAAGTTTGATTTTATTGAATCTACTTAGTTGCGATCAGTTCAATTTTATACGAACCTTAAAGCAAAAACAGAAAAATTTCCACTGCTTGTTGCAAATGACTTCAATCACATCTGTAGCCAAATTGAATTAATTTTACTTAGGTTTTCCTCTGTTTTTAGGCTCAAAAATGTAATGGATGTCAAGAAAATGATTGTGATGAAGATGATAATGCAATAAACAAAGATGGTTGGTCAAGTGAAGATAAATTATTGGTTCCCCCTTGTATAGGGCTTGTCAAGGTATGCAATGTTGAATTACAAATGCATTTTTTTCAATAGATTGACTAACTGACTGACTGACTGATTGAGTGACTGGCAAATGAATGACTTACTCATTCATCCTCTCACTTACCAACCAACCTACTGAGTGACTGACTGACAGATTGACTGACTGACAAATGAATGACTTACTCATTCATCCTCTCACTTACCAATCAACCTACTGACTGACTGACTGACTGATTGACTGACTGATTGACTGTCTGACAAATGAATGACTTAATCATTCACCCCCTCACTTACCAACCAACCTACTGAGTGACTGGCACACTAGCTGGCTGACCAGCTGGCTTGCCAACTGACAACTTGCTGAGCTGATTGGCTGCTTAACTGACAAACTAACAGATGGTTTCAATCACATGACCGTTTTACAGGTTGACACACTAACTGATGGGTGGTTTCTCAGTGGACTGATTGATTGACTGAATGACTGTCTAGTGTAGGTAAGCCTCTTCAATATCCATCTGTCCATTATCTTCTAACAAAGGTTTTGTTTATGTTTCAGGCATGTAGGTCATGTCTAAAGAAAATTTCTGGTGCTGTTCAAACTTCAGGTCAAGTCACATCAGTGGAAAATATTCAGCAACTAGATTCAATGGCAGATGAAATCCAGAGAACTAGTTCAAGGTGAATGGACTTTTAATGTTTAAGTGTACATGAACCAAATATTTTTTTAGAATCAAGTAAATAGCTCCTTAGGTGAAAGTTACCACAAAGTAAAAAAATTTCCCTTTTTTTCAATGTGGCAAACAATGAATTTTCTGTCTTGGGACACCAAAATCTCCAAGCTATTTTAAAGGGAAATATATGTTAGATATAGGAAAGAATTACGTATTAGATCATAGAGATTAAATGGTAAATGTAAATAACTTTTTCTTCTTTGTGTCAGTGTTGACGATGTCGTCATGAGTCTGTACAGTCCTATGAATCATCACAATGTTTCTGAATCAGTAAGTCAATGTTTATGTAAAATCTCGACTTTCTCCTTTGTCCTGTTTCCGAGCCTTGTGGCCTGTTGATCAGTTACTAATGTATGTACTTCATGCAATTACAGGCCTCTAAGCTGTCCCACCAGTTGAAAGAGATACTGAACAAAGCTAGGTAAGGAGTAAACTTGGTAACGGTGTTTCTGGATTAATTGGTCAAAACAACTTTTTCAACTCGGGCAAGAATTGATGATGTTCATATCGCTGACTTTTACTTTCGTATATTATTTTTGTTCAGGGATTCTCATTTTACGCTGGACTCAGACTCTTCTTGGCTCGACTTTCTAACCAAGGCAATAGACCATAATATGAACAAGATTACAAGTGTTCTCCACGAGCTAGAAGAGACGAATACATGATCCTCAAGAACTTCCAGCAAAATGTAATCAAGACATGTTAACTAACAGACATGGTTCAAATCAGCAGAGGAGCTTATGAATACGTTGCTAGTCAAGTCGCAAAATTAATGAATCACAAGAACTCAAAATCTTGAGTTTGAATCTATTAACTTGGAATTTGTCATGAAACCATAAAAAAATACTTTTTGTTTAATTAATCTGCATTTTTATGGCGCCTCACTCTCATTTATGTAGCTAATACTCAGCGATTTGTCCAGCAAATTCGCCCACTCCTTCGACCAATCAGATTCAAGACTAAAACTAGTCGCAGCTTGGTCACTCGCGTTTTCCCGCGCTTTAGACAGTTTGCTTGAATTATTGGCTCCTTAGGATGTACTCCTCTTTCTGATTGGTCATTGTGACTGCTTTGGCGTTGGCTTTACGACACTCAGTCGAAATGTGCTTTATTCTAAACAGCTCACACGAACGCAATGTAGGAGAAAAATAGCATGTGTAATTTCCTTTTAACCGCCGTTTGAAATCCAGAGAGGTGCAACAGTTTGCTCAGTTTCGTTCATTGCGCGGACACTGATTCCCAGAAGGACTTGTAGTCTAACGCCCAGAAATGAGCTGCGTGGAGGGTGTGCAAGTCATTTTAACATCACAGTGAAATTTCCCTGAAATAGCTAAAAATATTGAAGTAACTGTATGCCAAAGTAGGAAAATATCCAAGACGTTGGAATTTAATAAATATGAACAAGGAGATGAAGATTGATTAACACGGATTGTGAATAAAAGACTTGGAGATATTTTGGCTGTATCTTCGAAGAGAAAAACAGACCCTGGCCTGCTTTTTTTTATCCTTAATACATTGCAGAGAGGTGATTTCATCCCTCTGTATAGTCTGCTATCTTCTGTTGTGTATGCGTTTCATGGAAACCGATTGAATCAAAACTTGACCGATAAAGAGGTCAGCGGTGCATGACATTGATACTTAATGTGTGTCGGCGGAAGGCAAACCTGACACAGCGGTAACTCCCTGGATTAACCCTTGACACCCTAAAATCAGTATTTATATTCTCCATACTGCCTTTCATACATCTCCTAAGGTGCTGAAAAGGAGAACTTGGTTTCCAATCAAAATATTCTTTCGTTGGTGATCGTTTCCTTTATTCTCATGACTTTAATGTGTGATTCAGGGGTGATAGTGTGGGGAGAATTTGATGCAAGTCCCTCTTAGGGTTTAAAGGGCTAACGAGGTTTCCAATTCGATTCACCACCGATTTACAAGGCCCATCCGTGGCAGATGCCCTAACTTTTTTTCAAAATATTTGCCGACTTTATCAAACCTTTGTGTGCAAATTTTTTTGCATTTCCTATGTTCGTGTGGTAGATTTTGTCCTCAAAATTGATGAGATCCAAAGGAAAATCGCGTTGATTTTGAAAATGACTTTTTGTCAACTTGAAAGTCGTTCTCTGCCAAGTATGATGAAACCCGAATGACCATGTGATTTCTTTATTTCTGATTATTCTGAAGAGAAGAGCTGAAAAATGCTAAATGGTCGGTGGAAATTTTCTAGTGAGAATAAAAAAGCACATGCGCAGTTACAGATAGGAGGGATTTCATGATTATGCAGAAGAAGTAAACGTTGAAAACCTAAGCTTTAATCTCGGATTCAGTAGAGTAAGGGTTAAACTTGCTCCACTGGATTATCATCACCTTACTGGAGGAAGTTAAAAGATGTTGACCAAAAAGATTATCAAAAGGCGTTTGCCTGCGCTCAACCCTTGAACCCTCAGTGGTGTCTTACATCCAATTTCTCGTTTCAGTTTCACTACCAAATCACACATTAAGATCATGACATTAAAGGAAATCATCACTAATTCAAATAGCTAGCTCTTGATAGTTTTCAAATTCTCCTTTAGGACATCCAAGGATGCGAAAATTGAATATCTTATGGAGTATTTACAAATTATTGCCAAGTTGTACAGTTAAGGAGTCGGAATTTT